CCCCAAAACCCCAAAACCCCTTTAGAATAAGAGTAATTTTATTGATGCAGGATTTCACAAAGAATGAAAATAGTAGTGATTATAATATTTATTAAAATATCAAGGTGGATAGTAGAATGAAAAAAAGCAGCTTCATAGCCCTATCATTGGTAGCTATAGCTTCGACTTGTGTGAAAGCTTACAGAGAAATGGACTTAAAATTCAATCCTTTTGTATGCTTAAACGAGTGCGACTAAGATGACAGCCCTTAGATAAAGAAAACAATTCATTAGAAACATTAACTTAAAGATGATACTTGCCCTGATGGGGATCATAAAGTACTCTAAAACCAATTACCCTACTGGGATTCAAAACAAGCTTTTCCTTGTATGTATGCTGGAACTTTAAAAGTTTCTGCTGATCAAGATCACAACCTATTCTATTGGCACTTCAAAAACACTGCCTTGACAAATGCTCCCTTAGTAATTTGGATTAATGGAGGACCAGGATCTTCAAGTATGTTTGGACTATTCCTTGAGAATGGCCCAATCAGAGTTTCAAAAGGTCCAGGTGCTGATGATTACGTACTTGGTAATGCTGATAGATCGTGGCTTGAAGCTGGAGATCTTATTTTTATTGATCAACCAATTGGAACTGGATTCTCGTATGGCAATACATACTTAGATAGAATGGACGTAGGAGCTGATGAATTTGTTGATTTCCTAGTCGCTTTTGTAACAAAATATCCAGAGTATTAAACGAGGCCACTTATTCTTTGTGGTGAAAGCTACGCTGGCAAATACTTGCCTCATATTGCTACTAAGATAGCTTAACACAATGATGTTAATAACAATCCGGCCCTTGATAAAGACGGAAAGCCCATCGGCTTGATACCTTTGAATCTCAAATCAGTCCTCATTGGTGATCCATTCGTAGCACCAATTAGATAAAGGACTACAACTCACTTGATTGCTTAAGGACTTAATGTGATTGACTCTTCAAACATGGGTTAGATCTCTGCGTTGAGAAAGAAATGTGAGGAGTCCATATCTAACGACTGGAAATCAGGCACTGATACCTGTGTTAAGACTATGGATTATATAGATGCAGTTGCAGGAGGACTCTTTTCCTATGATGGCTCCATATTCGACTATGATTGGACTCCTAAAGAAGATCTTGTAAGCGACTTCTTGGCAAACTGTGGTAAAAAAGGTGATCTATATAAGGCTATTCATATTGATAAGAGCCCCAAGACTCCGATTTTTGAGTGGTCATCTGATAAAGTAGCTCAGAACTATGATTTTGAGGAAATGCAAGACTGGAGTGGATGGTACGATAAACTAATCAGAACTGGAACTAAGTTCATAATATATGCTGGAGAGTACGATCAAAGAGATGGTTCTGTGTCCCAACCTGCTTGGATCAAAGATTTGTTATTGCTAGCTCACGATGATGGCTCTTTCTTTAAGCAAGCTAGAAAGATCTATTACTTCAAGGACTCATAGAACAACATATAAGTTGGAGGGTACTACAGAGTTGATGATAAGAATAAATTCACTTTCCTTACAGTCCCTAAAGCAGGTCACTTCGTCCCTGCTAATCAATTCGAGCTATCCCTGGCAATGTTGAAAGACTACATGGATGATACCTAAGTTGGCCTAAAATGCATAAAGGATGATGATCCAAACAAGTGCGACACTTCCTAAACGATGTGCACATACATGAACAACTGCAATAATCATGGTACCTGCAATGGTTATGGCAAATGTGATTGCAACGATGGCTTTAAGGGTGCTGATTGTTCCTGGGCTACTGAGATGCTAGTAGATGGCTACCAAAAGACCTTCAATTTCAATGGCACACAATGGGTTTACTTCTAGTTTAAGCAAGGTTTGGGTAACAATGAAGCCTATACTCTTAGTCTTCAATCAACTCATGTGTTTGATGCATATGTTTCTAAAGGTGTAAAGGTAGATCCAAATGAATTTCATAATGATCTAGAATTCAAGAGACAATCTACACTTGTAATCTCATCAAGCTAATTCCCAGCATTCAATAGATTTGTGGTTGCTGTTAGAGTGAATGGAATTGACTTCATTAGTAACACTTATTAATTGTCAAAGCTCTTTGTGGGATTTGTAAAGACCTCAGCTCCAGCAATGAGTGAAGTTGATACTTATGAGTATCTAGAGATGCAAAAGAAAGAAGTAGTACCTGAGAAGAAATAAAACAAATGGAACCCATTCCATCATCCCCCTTAGGATGAAAAGTAAGCTGAAACCGTAGAGCTTCAATAACAATCATTCTTGTTTGAAACTGTGCAAGATCAAAATGAAGCATCTGATGATACTTAAAACTATGATGGTCATCACAGCAAAAGAAAAACTAAGGAGGATCACAAGCCATACTTCAAGTTCTAATATTTCATTGTTGGACTAATAATTGTATTCCTCGGAATGATGCTCAGAAATAGAAAACAATCTCAAACCTCATCAAATCAGTGATATTAAAGAAAAAACCTACCCATACTTAAATGAGTGAATGAGAGTGATTTGATATTAATTCTTATCCTAATGATAAAATTTTAACTGAAAACTTTATTTGATTTAATAAATTCTCAAAATTAGATTTCTAATAATGAATCCTTTAAATAAAGAATAGGATTTGCTTTTATTATACTAACTATTTATATATCAACGATAAATTATGTTTATAATAATTAATACTTATAACTATGAGGAAAAATCTTTTATCATTGAGTTTGGCTGCTGCCCTCATGATATGTGGAACAGTTGATGCCTCTTTCTCCTTGGGGGGCAATGCTTTCACTGACTTCATCAAGAATACCCAAAGCAAGTTTTCTTAGAGCAAGAACTTAAAGGCTGACAAGCCCGCTGAAGAAGTTAAAGCAGGCTAAGTATGTAAATCCACAACATACTCGATCACAAGCTTACCATATTGGGATACAAAATAAACTCTTCCCTGCATGTATTCAGGAACTTTCACTACAGATGCTAAGAATAATCACAACTTATTCTTCTGGCTAGTCAAGAATACTGCCCTTGAAAAACCTAACCTTGTAGTATGGCTTAACGGTGGACCAGGCGCTTCATCTATGTCAGGACTGTTCCTTGAGAATGGACCTTTACAAGTCACACAACCAGACCCCAAACTTGGTCCTGATAATTTCCTTGTTGGTTTAAGAGATGGTGCTTGGACTGAATTGGCTGATGTAGTGTATATTGACAATCCTGTTAACACTGGATTCTCTTTCGGAGATACCTACGTCTCCTCAATGGCTGATGCATCTGCTGAATTCGTAAGCTTCATTGATCAATTCCTCACTCTATTCCCAGAATACTCTCTTCCTCTTGGAAGTAATCTCTATTTAACTGGTGAATCCTTTGGTGGTAAGTACCTTGTTCAGTTCGGCAGAGAAATAATTAGATATTAAGAGAATCAAGGTTCAGGAAAGGTAAAATTAGCTGGTATTGTCATGGGTAATCCACTTATTTCACCACCTGTTCAAAGACTTACTACTCACAGAGTAGCTTAATCTCTTGGCATGATTGATGATAGCAATATGGAGTAAATTGCTACTCTTCACAGAGAGTGTGAATAAGCACTTTCGAGTAACTGGGACAAATCAAATGATGCCTGTGCCTAAGTACTTAGCTACATTTAAGATGTTAGCGGCAATGTCCTCAGCTATGACGCTAGAATCTTCATTTCAGATTATAAAAAAATTACCTAACCATATGAAGATTATCTGAGTGCCTCTGGTAAAATAACTGATCTTTACAAGGCCATTCATATTGATAAGTCAACTAAAAAACCAAATACTTGGGATAAGACCAATAAAAAGGTAGCTGATGCCTTGAATGGGGAAAGTATGTTTGATTCAACTAATTGGTTTGACATAACTAACGATGATGTCCCTATGTTAATCTATGCTGGAATGTGGGATCAAAGAGAAGGCCCAACAACTACTGAGGATTGGCTCTCTCACAGCAGAAAGTAAGCTAAGAGTTTGACACCGATTGCTTAATAAGCAAGACAGATATATTACATCAAACAGCTAGATGGTACATATACTGTTGGTGGATACATGAAGTATGATTCAGATGGTAAACTTACAGTTCTCACCATGCCAAAAGCAGGTCATTTCGCTCCTCTTAATCAACTTCAAACTACTTATCAAGTTCTAAGTGACTTCTTAGCTAAAGGTACATTAGTTTGCCACAAGGACAATCCAGAAGATTGCCAAGTTACAAAGACAATGTGTCAATTCATGACAAATTGCAACGGTAACGGTATCTGTGGAGACAGTGGACAATGCACCTGCAATGAAGGATATAAAAGTGCTGATTGTTCTGAAAAAGTAGAACAGCTTACTGCTTCCTATCATTCACAGGTTACCACTAATGGAACTCAATGGCATTACTATCAATATTAGAATGGATTAGCTGCAAATCTCCACTACGAGATGGTCTTTTCCTCTTAAATGCCACTCGATATCTTTATCTCATCTGGATGGTAGAGTGATCCAAACGAATTCCAGTATGATCTAGCATTTAGACAACAAAATTACATCAGAATTACATCAAAGTAGTTCCCTAATTTTGAAACCTTTACTGCAGCAGTCAAAGTAAATGGTATTGAGCATTATAGCACTACTTTCCATCAAAGCAACTTGAATGTCAAATTCGACATTATTACTGATCAAAGTGTCTTGTTGACTCAGGAATCAGAGATTGAAGCTATTCAGCATTAAATGCTTCAAAGTCTCGATCCTTTAGAGAACCCACAGAACGATACTTTTATTAACTTCAATCATGATATTTCAACCTGGATTGACGAGATTGACAAGATTAATGAGATTGATGAGATTGACAATGAGATTGATGAGATTGACGATGAGATTGAAGATGAAATCCAAAAAATCGAGAAAATCAATGAAATTATGAAGGATGAATTAGAAAATCAAAGAAATTAATCTCAAAATTAAAGTCATACACCAGATTCACAAGGGGACCAACATCATTGGAGAAGAAATCATGATGGAGGAGAAATTGATCATGAAAAATGGAGAAAAGAGCATGAGGGCAAAGAAGGTGAACATCACAGATGGAGAAAAGATCATGAAAACAGAGGACACCATAAGAATAACTCCGATGGCAAAAATGGCCATAGAGGAAAGAAGCATCACAAAGATGATGACAAAAAGCCTTAAGGCAGAATGTTCTACCAAGTGCTCTGGGAAAAATTACAGCCAATTATTGATAAAATTGTCCACTTTGACATTTACTTCCCATATTTCTTGGCTATCATCGTCTTTGGATTCTTTTATCTCATGTTCTTCCAGAAGAAACAACAACAGCAAAATGTTGAACAGAAATAGGTGAAAGAAGAGGCTTTAACAGTTTGATAATGATCTTAGTCTCAAACTTGAGCAGAGAAATTTGACTTCTAAAACACATAAAATTTGATCGTATTATTAAATTTACAGAAATATTTGAAGCCAAAATCTTTAAACCATTGATTTCATGAATTTAAATCTTTATAATTATTCTATATATTTATATTCACATACAATAGACCTATAGACACATTCTACTTCAAGTCCTACCTTCAAACATTTGAAAGCATTCACTAATGCCTTGTCCTGTAATCCCGATCACATTCTTCACAAAGTATCTCATTGAGTTCATTGTTTTAAGAGTGTCTACTTGCAATATCTTTCTTAGCATCAGTTCATCAACTGAATCTGGTTGATCTTGCTTATTTGCTAGTATAATGAAAGGGATCTCTCTTTAATTCAGAGATGGATGCTTGGCAATATGCATCAATACTTCCTAAACAATGGACAGTCTATCTCTATCAGCGGAATCCACAACGAAGAAAATACCATCTACATCTGGGTAAAAGAATGACCAGTTTTCTCTGTACCTACCCTATTAAAACATTTATTGGCAATCAATTAATATATGGTGAAAATCAATTTAAGATTATGAAGAATGCGATTCAATCAATAACTTACTTGACCAGATAGATCATAAACGACACATGCTTTACTCGAGAAGGGTAAAGTAATCTTTTCTATGTTGATATAGGGTGTAGTGTGGAAAAATTCAGCTGAATTCTCAGGGATGGTCTTGAATCTTTTGATAAGAGTAGTCTTTCCTGAATAATCGAGACCGATCATTAGCAGCTAGGAGTACTTCGTTTTTGTGTTTATCATTTTTATTTAAATTTAAAATTTCGAAAATACAAAACAATTATTTTATTAATTCTTTGCTTAGAGAACTCCTAAAATCTTTATAAAATTCAAGTCTCTGGGGTTTTGGGGTTTTGGGGTTTTGGGGTTTTGGGG